TTAGTTAAAAGGGACATAGGGCTTAGACACGAGCAAGCTGTTCTGAGCTCCAACACATTTATTAGTTTCTCTTGGAAAATTTAGATGTGCAGAAGAAAAACTCATTGTGAACAGGTGCTAAAGAACAGAATTTTAATAAAAATTAAGCCTTGGGATATAAAAGTTGTTTCCAATAATGGTGAATCCTGAGAAAATACCTGTTGTTTTAATAAGATACCTTAACAATTTTGTTCTTACAGAAGAAGGAAGGAAAATAGGAAGGAAGGGAAGGAGAGACCAATGAAGGGAAGAAAGAAAAAGGTAAGTAAGGTAAAATCCTCAAAATATCATGGTAGCACATAATAGAATATCTAAATTATAACTCCATTATACCAAATGACTACATCTGGGCTTGTCCTTTCGTTCCGGGAAGGTTAATAATAAAATATCTCATCACTCACCGAATAAGTACCAACCCTGGAAAGGATCAAGAGAGAGGCATTTTAAACACCAGATTCTATTTGGAAACAGAGTAACTAAGGAAAAAAAAAGGTTGGCAATAGGAGGACACTCCTAGAGAAAAAGCGTTTATGAATATAAAAGCCATTTTAGAAAGACTCATAAACTCATTAAGTCACAGAAAATGATTTCTAAACCTCACTTCAGTTATTGATTTTAACAGTCTGAGGCATGCATTCAGATTCAATGTTTATAAATCCTGGCCCCTACGTGAAATGGCTATTCAAGTTCATTGTCATTTAATAGGGAAACTAAAGAAACATTCTTTATAACTTTCTATTCATAACCCTATGAAAAGCCTTCCATACTGTGTGGTCAATGGGTGTCTTCAAACAGCTCTATTTCATAATGAGCAGGCAGGCTGTTACAGGGTTTAGTTAATAGCCGGTAGTGCTAATACAAGACAGGGAATGTATTTGGCAGCCAGGATATTGGATTAATCCTCATTGATGGATGGAACGGCAGATCCTCTAAGCACTAGAGCAAGGGAGGAGGAACAATGAAGGACCTGCAGTGACAGTCAGCAAGATGCAAAGGAGAAAAGTGAAAGCTATGATTCACTAAAGAGAAATGACAACAGAGAAAAAGGCCTTGGGCGCCTGGGTGGCTCAGCTGGTTAAGCGACTGCCTTCGGCTCAGGTCATGATCCTGGAGTCCCGGGATCGAGTCCCGCATCGGGCTCCCTGCTCAGCAGGGAGTCTGCTTCTCCCTCTGACCCTCTCCCCTCTCATGCTCTCTCTCTGTCTCATTCTCTCTCTCAAATGAATAAATAAAAAAAAAAAAAAAAGGCCTTCCTCGTTAAAACCTGTGCTGAGTAATACACAAGTTTGGCAGTGGCTAACTTCTCATTCTGTGCAAGAAGGAAGAATAAACCAACTGCACCGAGAATGTACAGAGGGACTCTGACCAGCTGAAGAAGGGAGAGGTGCCAGATGTCTGAAACAAGCTACTGGTGTCGACTAAGAAAAAAAAAAAGGAGACTTCATTCCTTAACACTGACAATATGTACAGGCCTGAGATCAATTCCAAGAACTTCACTGTAAAATTACCCTCTTCGTACATAGGTGGTTTCCACACTGATGCAAGATATATTAAAACCATACAAAATGATATATTTCAACCTTGAAAACCAGCCCCTTATGATAACTTTTAGATAATGGTCACTTGACTTAAAACAATGAAGACTCTATGAGTCCTCTTGGCTCACAGAAAACACACGTTAAATGCACGTTGAAAAAGTTCAAGCAAATAGAAGGGGTTTGGTGACTTTGGGTATGGCAATGTCTCGCTGGGATGCCTAGTACAGTTATAGTCTTGCTTTTATTAATCTATTTGACTCTAGCTGGCACACCTAATTCTCACTAAGCAAAAGAGAAACCAATAAAATGGCAGAGAGCTGCAAAAGGCTACTACCTCTAATGTCAGGAGCATGGCAAGGCAAGATAATGCAAGAATTGTTTACACGTCTAATCTCAGACTGAATCACAGAAACTTGCTGGGTAAATTTGGGCTCTAATTCATTCCCACACAGCACAACCTTGAAAATTTTACATAGACTCACTGTATATCAATTTTCCCAGCTACAAAATGGGAAAATATTCAAACCTCCTTTTTTCTGCAAGTTCTTTCTGTAGCTACCTGGAAAAAAGTGCTCCTCAAAAGAAAACAAAATGCATATTACTCAGCCTTATAAAGGAAGGACATTCTGACACAGGCTACAGCACGGATGATCCTGACGATATTATGCTAAGTGAGATAAGCCAGCCACAAAATGACAAATATTGTATGATTCCACTTATATGAGGTACCTAGAGTAGTCAAATTCATAGAGACAGAGAGCAGAATGGTGGCAGCCAGGGGCCAGGGGAGGGGACAATGGGGGAATTATTGTTTAACAGGTACAGAGTTTCAGTTGTGCAAGATGGAAAGAGTTCTGGAAACTGGTTGCAAAACAATGTGAATGTGTGTAATACTTCTGAACTGCACACTTCAAATGGTTAAGATGGTACAGTTTTATGTTTTGCATTTTTACCAATTAAAGGTTTAAAAAATAAATAAGTAAAATGCACAATAAGCCTAGCACTGTGCCTAGCACAGAGGACATGATCAGTCTACAAGTACTAGGTACAGGAATGAAGAAGACTCTTCACGTAAGACAGATGAGATCTAACCTGATTGGCCTACCACCACCAATGGACCTTTAAACATTACCAGAAAGTGACTCAGCATGGTACAGTGAGGAAGGAACCGCAAATGATAGTTGTCAATGAGTTATCTGCTCTGCCAAGCTCTAGCCCTCAGAGGGACCATCCCCTTCTGAGAATCAAACAACAGACATCTCATGCAGGGTGTGCAGCCACACAAGGTAAGGAAAGCCAGCTTTGTGCTGGTCGAGAGAGCCTCTGCTGGAGGAGAGTGGCAGGCATGCCCCTGGGGAAAGGGGCTGCAGGTACTAGGGCCACAGACTCGTACGTGTTCTTCCGCAGCCACTTGGATACCACTTTGCAATTTAGCAGCTTACGACCTACCAAGGAAGTTACAGTGTTCCGGTACTGTGCTCCTTGACAATACATAGTTCTGTTTCCAGGGGAGTGTGGAAGATATCCATTAGTAAGTCAGAAGACATTCTGATGAGTTCATTTATTCACTCACCCTAAACTTACTGATCCCCATCACCAGCAGGTGCATTGATGGCCATGGTACAAAGATAAACATATCTTGCTCTTTTGCCCTTCAAGCCTAGGGAAGGGACAGAGGCAGGCCACCAGGTCACAGAGTTCATTTAGGAATGTTATATTTTGATGATGTATTTTGATGTTAGATAACTCTAATTAAGGAAAAACTCATCCGTGGGGCTGGGACACTGAGAGCTTACTCTCTCCCAGGGGCTACCAATACAGTTAAAAAATAGCATATGCACACATGGGGCACTTGTAAACTAAACCCATAAGAAGGAGTGGTCAAAAATCCTGGAGGAATTGAATTAGCCTTCAAAGAAGAGATTACTTTTGGACTAGGTCGGGTTTGGGAGGAGGGAAATAGGATATATTCTAGCCAAGGTAAGGTCTTGTAAAAAAACAAAGCTGCATGAAAAAAAAAATTATGTCTGAACAATGATGAGAAGATACTCTTGCTAAGATGTATGTGTGTGTCAGAGGGGGAGGCCGGGGTGGGGGAGACGGGGGATGAGACTGGAGAAGTAGCTCTGAATCATGTTAACAACCCTGAATATTACTCCAAGGAGTCTGGCTTTGTCTTGAAGGTTTTAGAAATCTAACACTTAGGCGGCAGGTAGGCAAGAATGGCTATTCAGATAGGAGGACCATTTAAAAAGCTATTGCGATAGATTAAGAAAAAGTAGAGACGACTTCAACTAAATGTGTCCATGACATTAAGGGTTCAAGTATAAGGAAAAGCAAAGGGGAGAGCAAAGGAAAAATCCTAGCTCATGTGACTGTCGGTTACAAGGAAGAAGCACAAGACTAGGGGATGATCATGTCTTCAGTTAGAAATACTTTGCATGTAAAATTCAGTTTCCTCATTCATAAAATGAGGATAAGTAACAAATGATCCAACTGGATTTTGGAGTTGATGGGAGGATTAAGTGATAAAACAAATACAAAGAACATATTACTATTACTTACGCCTAGATTTGTGGAAGTACAGACCTGGAGAGAACCCAGGGCCGGAGAGAAACATTTGGGAGCTCTTGGCACATGAGTTATGGTTGGGAGTGCTAAAGGTTATAAGCTTGATCATCCCGGGAGATGATGTTCTGTCATCTAGAACTAGACCATGGGCACACAAATGAGCAGCACATGAGGCACTAGGCTGGAGGCTGGAGGCCAGCAAAGACGACTTTGAAGGAATGATCCAAATGTGGGAATCTGGAGAAAATGGTATGATGGAAAAATGATAAGCAGTAAGTAGCCAGAAGTGCCTATTCTTCCCAGAAGCTGGTAGGATGAGAGCTGGAAGGGGTGGGTTTGAGGAGTTCAAGAGCACCCCCAGCAAAAGCCAGTCCAGTGAAGGGGGACAGGTGGAGGCTGATCACAGTTCATGTAGCAGAGTTGCATTTGCACGATGTATTTGCACGATGTATTCCTAATTCTAATTAAGGAAAAACTCATTTGTGGGGCTGGGACGCTGAGAATTTACTCTCTCCCAGGGGCTACAAATACAATTTTTCTTCTTTATTTAATTTGAGGAACAGAGGGCCTTGTGAATCAGACTGAGAGAAAATTGCTGTTGTTTGGATTCATGGATACATTTTTTTTCACAGAGAAAAGAACACTAGGTTTGGAGGCAGGATGGAAGAGCCAATGTGAACAAAATATAAAGCCCCACCAACAAAATAAACTTTCTGTGGGAATACAGAAAGTAGTACTAAGCTAGCACAGCCGGAGAACAGAAGTGAGCGCCTCTGAGGCTCCACACCCATCTGCCAAGGGCCGTTAAGGACACACACCTGCAAGCACTTTTTACCACACAACCACTCTTACCTTTCTTTTGATATCAGTGAACTGCGAAAACATTAGAGACCAATAAAACGACAGCTCCAGGATATAATAGTAGTGAAGGTCAGTTGTGAGTGGCTGAGGATCAAAGAAAAAAAAGGAAAGATTAACAGTTAATAGGAAACCAATTAGTGTCCCAAACATCTCAAGCTCAGGGCTGAGAAGTGACGCGGTCTTACGCCTCTACAGATTCCAGCCCCATTCTCTCGGTGGAGAAGAAGGGCTTTGAAGCGTGCCTCTAATCCGCAGCTTGATGGCATTAAGTTTTGTTTCATCCCCAACCAAAAAAGTGTCAGTGAGTATGAACATTTGGTACCCAAGTCACTATTTATTTTAACAACAGGATTTATGATGCTTCCTTGAGATAAGTATCTGTAAGATTCCTCAGCAACCTGGAAAAAAAAAAAAAAACCACACATACACAAAAAGAATAACCCTGGAAAGTGCCGGGAGATTCCATCGTACAGGGGCAAGGGAGTTAGGTGATAGAAACTGGGGTGCCAGATGGGTCACAGAGGCAGAGTTTTAAGTTCTGCATTAATCAGAGCTTTCCTGTTATTAGGAAATGTTCTGTACATTGCAAATACCAGAAAAGATAATTCAAAAATATTTATTAAAAGACACAGGGACAAGGAAGCTGCCAAGACATACCAGGCTAGGCCCCCAGCCAGGAAATCTGAGATCAAGTCTCTCAGCTCCATAGCTCAGAAGGTATAAAATTTGGGCCTTAATTTATTTATTGTAAAATGGAGGTGACACATGCTCTATCTGCTTCAGAGGTCCAGGAATGGGGAGAGGCTCAGAGAGGCAGTAGAAGTCAGGAATATTTATTTTGTTTACTGAGCTATAAAGAAACGTCTTACTTTAGTAGAACGAATGAAAGACCTTTGAAATGCATCACCTCCATGCTACCCACAATGTAACAGTATACACAGTAACTACAATGGAAACTTTAATGTTCCCTGAACCAATAGCAGCATAACAAATTACTTTCACGAGAAGCTGGCACTCACTTAACTACTAATTCTACCAACTTTATGCATTGGCACTAAAGAAAACAGTTGTCCCTCCCACTGATCTTTGGCAACAGTGAGGGGACAGGATACGGTCTCACCAGCCATCCCAAGCTCTGAGAGACAATGAGCATCAGTATGTTTATCAAACTCAGCATCACCCTGGAGAGAATATATTTTCCACTGAATTGTCCTTTTAAAATTTGCAGGCATTAGCAATAAGGGATGGGTATTCAGGTCGGACATATGGCAGCAATGAATCTAGAAAATAAGGCACTGGCTTCAGGACCCTTGGAGCCAAGGTTAAATTTCAGTTTTAATGAGAGTTCTGGCACCACCACCTCGGAAAAGCCACGGAGGCCTATGAAGGCACGTGAGAGTACATCTAGAAACCACAGTGTTCATGAGAGAGCATCATCATATTACAAAACTACCAGATTCATGGAGTGCTCTGCAGCTGACAAAGCTTACCTGCATGTTAATTTCTTTGACTCTCATAAAAATCCTACAAAATACCATCATTTTCTAGATGGTATAGTTGATAGGCAATTGCCATCAGTTAGTTTGGGTTGAAAGGTCAATCACAGGTCTTCCAGCTAGTGAGGCTTCTGTAACTACCATGTTAAGGCTTCTCATTCCCAACTTGGGCTCTTTATGACAAACTAAACAGGCCCAACTAAAGACCACTTTCCATTATTCTAAACTTAAAATATACACATGTACATAAAAATCATCATATAATTACATATATACTTACACACAAGGAGCAGTGTGCCCTTAATAAAATTGCAACAGACCACTATTCTCATCTAAATATACATCCAATTATTTAATATACACGCTAAAGACATAATAAATACACTTCATCAGCATGATCTGTCTTTAAAAGTACCCTTAAGGCCTGAGACTGACTCTGAACTATAATCTATATATTTATGGAGACATAGCTACCCACAATGCACTTTAATTACATGCTGTTTTTTTTCCCCACACAAAAAGAGCTGATTGTTTTTATTAGAATACAGAGTTTATCAAAGATGACCACTATTCCTATAAGAGATTATGAACTGGTCCTAGATTTTTGGGGCTAATGCCAAATTATTCGTTTATAAGCAATGATGTCTTATCAGCAGAAGACAATCTTGATCTGAATCCCCACACGCAGTATCTTTCCTTCTATTCTAATGATGTTTCTTATTTTTATTTTTTATTTTATTATTTTTTTAAAGATTTTATTTATTTATTCGAGAGTGAGAGCAAGAGAGAGAGGGAAAGAGAGAGACAGAGCATGAGCAGGGAGAAAGGCAGAGGGAGAAGCAGGCTCCCCGTGGAGCAGGGAGCCTGATGCGGGGCTTGATCCCAGGACCCCGCGATCATGACCTGAGCCGAAGGCAGATGCTTAACCGACTGAGCCACCCAGGCACCCCTATTTTATTATTTTTTAAAGATTTATTTTATTTTATTTTATTTTATTTTATTTTAAAGTAATCTCTATAACCAATGTGGGACTCAAACTTACAACCCCGAAATCAGGAGTCACGTGCTCTACCAACTGAGTCAGGCAGGCGTCCCAATGTTTCTTATTTTTAAACATAACTATATACCAGACCCTCAAAATTTCATGTTAAATCTCTAGTTTTGTCTATAAAACAGTCAGCAACTACAATTTTGGGCCACTGCCCCAGCAACTAATTATCTCAGAAAAAAGCAATTCCTTAGCTCCAGCCATAAATGTGAAAGTTATTTCAGACTATGTTATCGTTATAAGGAAGAGTATTACATTTCCTGTAACATCTGTCTCAGTGTTGTTCATATGACAGAATTTACCTCATAAATGCAGTGCATTAGGGCAGCTACCACATCAATGTGAGTTACAGTTTCTAGAAGGCTTTGACATACTTCTATAAATAGAATTCTAGCTATATTCGGATTTTTCCACTCAGTATACCATTACAGGACACAAAGAGAGGTGTAATGACAATATCCCAAGTATTTAAGATAGTAAAACAGCAGCTGAGCCTGAGAATTGCAATTGTGCGCGGTAAGTGATTGGTTTCAACGTTGCTTCAGTCTCCATCAGAAAGCCCTGGAAAGCTCAGCTTTCTCTAACCATGTCATATTGCTTGTTTACATTCTTTTCTAATCTGAATAAACTACATGAAAGAGATGGAAATGCAAACTGGAACTCCATTTCAATGTGTCCCTAGCCCTGAACCAGCCCAAGGAGTTTCCAAAACCAGTCCCTAGCCTGTTGCAACACTGAGTGTATCAGAGAAGATACAGAGCATGCTTGCTCCCCAGTAACTTTATGCATACCAAAAAGACCAAATGCCTCCAAAAAGACAACCCAAGGAATGGCAGTCAAAGTAAAAAATCCAAGGTGCCTATCATAATGTATGTCTCTTTATTTTATCACCAAAATACATTGCTGCATTTGATTTTCTTATGTAATATATTCCAATTAAACTAGAAATTCTATAAAATTTTCAGTTAAGAAATTACTAGAAAAGACCCAGCTATGATATTCAGATAGTAACTGATCTGAGGAACATAACCCATGCTAATATTATTGAATTCATGGACAGAGGCAAAGGTATGTCAGGGGTGGGGATCTGAAATGCTCCCTTTCTGGGATATAATTTTCATCTCATTTTTGATAATGGTTTTAAATCTAGTGTAATGATACAAGCCCCTTTTTCCATGCTCAAGGAAATGGTACTTGATATACATATTTAGAGGTTGCTCTTAAGCCACAAAGTGGCCTGAACTCTGCCTGTCTGCCACAGCCCTACACTTGAGCTTAACCCGCTTGCTGTCCAGAGAGACCCTTGCTGGTTTCAGGTCTTCAGGCTCTCTGCGGTAATCTGGACGTAGATGACCTGTAAGAAGCAGGAATCACCCAACTATCGAACTGACTGTATCTTACTCTTCAGCAAATACACCTTCCAGCTTATTCCATTTGCTAAAGCAATTGAGCTTTGATTCTGAACTTCACTGAGAACACAAGCTACTTCCCTTAACTAGGCTAAGTCTGCATCACGCAGCAGGGGTGGGGGCAGGGGCCTAAAACCATGACCCTGACCTAAGGAAGATACTCTGCATGGGTAAAAGACCCAGACGGTAACGTCTCCTTACCTGATACGGGTAGTTGTACCAGCAGTGCCTTGTATTCCACAACCAGGGGGTCTGAAAAAAATGACAAACACATTTTACATGTTTTGGAAATGAAGCAGGATAAGAGATGCTTTTGACAGATGCTTGTCCCCAATATTTGGGATTTCAATAATCTACCTGTATGAGAACTGAAGGACTTTAACTAGAATTAGGATATTAAAGCAATTAATATGCCATTATACATGCTCTCTGGGTAATCTTCTAAACTCAACTGGTAGTGACGTAGGAAGACGTTAGGGGCCAAAGCCTACTGCCAAGAAAGAATTCTTGAGACGTCTTTGGTGCAAAGGGGTGGTTTTATTAAAGCACAGGGACAGGACTCGTGTGCAGGAGGAGCTGCACTGGGGTCATGAGGAGCGGCCCATGATATACCTTCAAGTTGTGAGGGGGTTAGGGATAGCGTAAGTCTCTAAGGAATTTTGGAAGCAAGGTTTCCAGGACCTTGAGGGGGCTAGCTGTTATTGGGAAAAGGTCATTTACTACTGTCTAATAAAAACCTTAGTCATGAGACCCTTCAGATGTATATCGGTGGACCATATGCTTGAGGGATGACTGCCAACACAAGGAAGTTTCCAAAAGAATTTTTATACGTTAAAGTAGGATTACAGGATCCTGGGGAGGGGGGAAACTGGGCTAGAATTGCCTTTTGCCCTTAGGAAAGTGTCAACATCAGGGCAGTTGAGTCCCTAGAGGAACTGCCACTCTGCCTGTTTCAAGGACTTGTCAGTGGGCTGTAGGTAGTAAGGAAATTTAATATTTTTTCTTCTGCCTTTGTTTCTCACATCAGTAGTATTTCAGGCTACTTCTGCGAGAGAGTCCCCACTGGTGTTTTTTGTATTTTACTGTTACATGGACACCTTCCTACTACGTAACCAGCCTCTGCAGCAGAGCCTTTTAGGGGTCTCACTTAGACTGGATGCAAATCATCAATCTCACTATTATCAATAAACAATGCTGACAGTTGGTGCAAACTACTCTGAAACTCCTCCAACCCAACGTTGCAAAGCAACATTATCAATCAATCCTTTCATGCTTTGATGACCAGTGGTTAAGTAATCAGGCAGGTATACTGATTTCAGTAGAACAGCCCAGACTAATTCCAGGCCTGAGGGAATTAACCCTCACAGCATACTCCACTCCCCAACTCATGGTCAAGGTCTTTTAAAGACAAAACAATCATTCTTAATTTGACAGCAATCACTTGCCTTACAACACTGTAAAATCAAATAGAACAGCTAAGGGTACACACAGATTCCAAACACTTATAGAAAGCAGGGAGAGACTGGTATACATTTAAACAGGTTGCTGAACAATCCAATGATACCAGCACAAACTCTCTCATATTATTATATTAACTTTATAATTCTTTTATATCTCTGACCTACAGTTACCAGCATTTTGCAGTATACATCTACATACATTTGGTATGCATCTGTACATTTCTTACTGAGAAACATCATCTATCCTTAACCCGGCCCATGTTTATGCATCTCAAAATGATAATATTATCATTGAAAGATTCATGTTAGATATATTTATAAGGACCTAACTTCCTTCCTTCCCTCATCCCAGATCCTACGAGATTAAAAGTTGCTGCTGTCTGCAGTAGGATAAGGTGCTTGCCTCCCTAAGAGCCATAGGTACCCTGTCACCCCATCATCCTCTTCATCAGCCCTGTACCGATGAGGATGAAGATGATGATGTTAGTATTTGCTCAGACATCCCTAAGCCCACACTCTTATTTTTTTTTAGGGTTTTTCTCCACAATCTGTTATTTACTTAACCAATTAAAAAGTTGTTTAGCTCAAGACCGCCCTATACACTTTTAAAGGCTCTTGCATATGAACTCATTTTATCCTTACAATAGCCAGTAGTATTTCCTTCATTTTATACATAAGTAAAATAAGGCCCTGAGTCGAAATGACTCTCCAGGTTAAACAGCCAGGCAGTCCCAGAGCTGGAAATCAAACTCACACTCTCCGGTCTCACACCCAAATGTGACTACTGTGCCCCCTGCCTCTGAGTTAATAAAAACTGAACCTGGCCTTGGCTTAGGGAGCCATACTGAAATCAAAAGCCACCCTCTGCCCTAAACCATTCTCCTTTCATTAAAGCACTACTGATTCGCCTTCCTTTTTCCTGGCTTTGGCACCGGCCGTACACATCATGTAACCTCACTGCATGTAACATCCTGGGCGCCTGAGTTGTATCTGTCTCCTCCATTTCTCTCACCTACCACCTTGCTGTTTATTACTGACCTACCTCACGGAGTGCTTGTGAGGATCATATGAGAGAGCACGCATACAAATACTTGGGAGGCTTCAAAAGTTTAATGTGTTGTTGTCACATGGTCATATAAACACATGTCCTTTGAGGAAGACACAAAAATAATGAAAAATAATGTGTATTTTCATTGCTATTAACATTTCATGTACAGCCCACTTTGGGTCTTTTTTTTCTCTTTAATACAGATATAAATATACATAGATTTATTTTAAATCAATAAATTAAACACACATACATACATGTTAAATGTGGGCATGACATACCAAAGTCTATTTTATTTTATTTTTTAAGATTTTCTTTATTTATCTGACAAAGAGAGAGAGAGGGAGAGCACAAGTAGGCAGAGAGGCAAGCAGAGGGTGAGGGAGAAGCAGGCTTCCCGCTGAGCAGGAAGCCCAATGTGGGGCTCGATCCCAGGACCCTGGGATCGTGACCTGAGCCGAAGGCAGACGCTTAATGACTGAGCCACCCAGGCGCCCCTCTATTTTAAAGTATAGTATAAGTGATAGTTTTTACCCTTTTTCTGATAAAGCTGGTTATTACTTCAACAATTAGTTGAAAGTCCCAGGGGGCAGGTCTGGGGGAAAGGTATATCCTATGCATATGTTTATGCACCTACCAGCATCTACCCAAGCTGACAGTTTAGCATTCATTTACTGAATGCTAATGAAAAGGAATACAGAATTAAATGCAAGGCCTATGACAAACCTCATAACATTTTTCTAAATTGATCAGTCCCAAGCCTACAGGGCATGTGTGTGCTTGCCTCTAAAGATGCAGTGGGAATCTCTCCCAGTGTGGCCACTCCTTCCAGTCACAGGAAGGAGAACAAAGGTCTGATTCCCAGTGACCTAGAAAAATCCATTATTTAGAGCTTTCCTTCCTCTGTGAGTTTCTTGGCTTCTCTGGCTTTTTCCTCACATGCAGGCTGTTCCCCGCGTACATCAGATGCACAGCTCCTAGACTTGTTTCTATTACATGCTGAAACTTGACTGACCTGCAGAAATACTGGATGAGTCTTTGTCTCTCAGTGGACTCCACCCACTTGAGACAGGAACAAAAGGCCTGGATCTCAGGAATTTGATGGAGCTACCAGGGCCAGAGCTCAGCCTGCAAGCTTATTTGCCAAACAATTTAATGAGAAGTTCCCTCACATGGCGACACATGTTCACATACACCTCTCACTTTGACAACACGAGATATGAATATCACCTTCTATATGCATACCACATTTTTCTAGGATCTCATGGCATGTGCCTCCCCAACACCATGAGACAAGTAGAACAAATACAAATGCTATCTTTCTCAACTACAGATTAGAAAACTTAAGTCCATGAGAAGGTGATTTTCCTAATTTTTGATAGTTCAACACTGGGGTATGCATCTGAATTAGCTGCTCATAATTTAATATATTAGGTATAACTTCTTTTATTTGAATTGATATCACGAAGCTATCTTTTCTTAAAATCAATTTCTTTTATCAATTTTTCCCTTTTCCATATTTCTGGGATATCTTTTCAGTTTTAACCTTTCAGTTTCCATGCCAACTATCAGGAGGATGGATCAATCATCAAAAATCAAGGAGGCTTTGTCCAAGTCTTTTGGACCCTAATGTAAACTACAGGCTTTGTGTGATTATGTGTCTCTGTAGGTTGATCAACTGTAGTACATGGACTGCTCTGGTGAGAGATTTGGTAATGGGACAGGCTATGCATGTGTGGGGAGCAGGAAATCTCTGTATCTGTTTCTCAATCTTATTGTGAACAAAAAACTGCTCTAAAAATAACTGAAATCTTAAAAAAAAAAAAAAATCAAGGCAAGTAGGCTACCTCAGATCACTCATGCTTCTCATGTCACTGTAAGCCTAAAGTAACAGTAGAGTTTGAAGCAAAAGACCAGAGAAAAGAATAGCAGGTTAAGTAGGCAAGTGTTAAATGATTAAATGTAAATATAAATATACATACACACAGATAGACTTTTTTTTTCAAGAATCAAGAGGTACCTGTAGCTGAATGAATAGCACTTTGTTTGAATTCATAACTATTCTGATTAAACAAAAGAACATGAATCACACAAAGTATTAAAGAAATGTTGTTGATTTATCAAAGATGTGAAAGGTATGTGGGTTTTTTACCCGAAGACAGTATCTTAGAGACAAAATTTCATCTTTTCACTGATTCTATCCAAACTCCTAAATGGCTTTCAAAAAGCCCACCTGAGACAACTGACAGTCAAGTAATACATTCTAAGAGACATACTGGCCTCCACAAAGGTTAAGTACCAAATATACAGAGCCTCGGATTGTGTTTTAAAATGCCAGAAACCTAGAGTCCTGAGCTACACTGAAACTAATTTCACTGAAACCACTCTGAAAACACCTTCACTTAATGACACTTAAACCTTATACCTTTGGCTTATACTGAGGATTTACTGGGGGAAATTAACATGACAAAAGTGCTTCCATGTCTGTAAGGAATTCATTATTAGTTAGGTTACCACTAGTTTACCCTAAGTTGAATGTATAAGTTCCATGATATTTTTCCTTTAAAATTTAACTCAAGGGGAAAAAATACTTCCATTCTGTGAATGTTTCCTCTCACCAAATGAGAATTATTACATTATCGTGTTATTATCCTTTTACCTTGGTTTTGGGAAGCTGAGATTGAATTCTAAGGTTTAGTCACAGCAACTGTTGATTGTCTCTTAACATCTTTGCTTATTTTTCC